CATTGAACACATACCCAAGCTAAGTAGACGCTTGGGGTACGATTGCCCCCGTAAACCCACCACCAATTTGGTACCTACTATCGAAACCCTATCAAGCTCCATGTTGTCCTGAACAAGGCAGGGCGGGCAAGCCTGGACGCAGTATTCCAGATGGGTCCGGACGAAAGCTGAGAACAGCTTCACAAATATGTCGGCAGTTAAGACCCGAAAGAACGGCGTATTAACCACAAGATTCTGAAACCCTTAATTGCGGCCTTCTTCCAGTTGTCACCAGAATGCAAAGACGTGGAATGAACGACACCTAGGTCTACCTGCTTGGAGACAAGGGGGAGTTCGACCCCACCGAGTACGTAGCTCGAAGGCGGGAAAGTTGCACCTATACAAAGGACAAAATACTTAACCTGATTTATGTTTAGTAGCTACAAAGTAGACCAGCCCCAGAGTCTGTCCAGTGCATGCTGTATGGCCTCAGAAACCCTAGGGAAATTTACAACATTCCATAGCTTAAGTTCATCACCAAACAATAGGGATGATACCCCAAGCTCTCCAGGGAGATCGTTTACGTAGATGGAGAACAGCATGGGTCCAAGGACCGAACCCTGTGGGACACCATTAGGAACCGCTAGATTAAAGGATAAGCTGCGACCCACACGTACACACTGCTCTCTTCCCTGCAAGAACGCAGATACCCAGTGAAGGGCGCGGCCAGATACGCCGTAAGACCTCAGCTTTTGTTATAGCCCCAAGTAAGGTACTTCTTCAAATGTTTTCGAGAAAGGCACATCCACCACGTGGCTATTGTCCACTGCCCTGGCCCAAGCTTCACGAGCAACCAACGAATTCGGGTGAATTGAATCAGGTCCAGCTGCTTTGGAAGGGTTCAGTTCTTGCAGTAGTTTAAGGACTTGCGTTTCCACCAAAGTAAACTCAGCTAAATAAGAACCATCAGGTACTCTGGGGACAAATTCAACACTAGTCAACGCGGCCTCACGTACAAAAGCCCCTGCATATTGTTCCCCAAGCACACGAGCCTTATCCGAGTCCGCATACGCACGAGTTCCATCGGCCCTCATCAAAGTTGGGATTACCGAAGTTGAACCACAGCGTTTCTTAACATAAGCGAAGAACTTCTTCGGATTTTCCGAAGCTCCGTCAGCCAATTCCTTTTCGTACACCAGCCGAGCTTCCCTTAAGTGCTGCTTACACCTATTTCTAGCCTCGCGGTACCTAGCATAGGTGCTAGTTGATGGAGCCGCACGGTAGGTCCTCCAGCACCTAGAACGCTTCTGGAGCAGGTGCTTGCCAGTGGTACCTATCCACGGTGGCCGCGCCCGTGTCTCCTTTCTCCTCGCAAGCGGGATGTAGGGAGTAGACATTTCCGTGAGATAAGATTTAAATTCATCCCAGGCCGGCTGAACCGTATCAACCACCGAGATTTCGCAACGCATCCCAGCAGCCTTGGTACGCATTGCCTGATAGTTAGCACGCCATATGTTTGGAAATGGCTTAGCAATGCTCTGGTGACGCCTGGTCAGACTACACCTGAACGATAAACAAACATGATCACTAGCACCTAAGGGAGAGCCATAAGTGATGTCCACTACGAAGTCTAGTGACTTGGCAAACACTAGATTCAAAATAGACGGGAGTTGGGCGTCCATGTACCTAGTGGGGAGGTCCACGAACTGATACAATGGTACTTGTAGCGTAAGCTCAAGTAGATCTGCCCCGAAAGTACCTTCTGCCGAGTTGCAAGAAAGATCCGCCCAGCAAAATTCTGGTAGATTGAAATCCCCTAGTAGCAAACACCTGTTTGCGGATTGGGAGCGAATAAAGTCAAGCACCTCATTGGACGCACTCCCAGGGCTTCTATACACAAGTACGACTGTAAGTTGAGCTGAGGAAGTGTTAATCACTACCGACAGCGCTTCGACAGTTTTATCTGCCGTCTGAAACATGTAGGTGCGTGAAACGTCAAGTTCACACCTAACGTAAATAGCAACGCCCCCGCCTTTTCGGCCAACGAAGCGATCACATCTAAATAGTGCTTAGCCAGACAGATGTACTTCATCGTCCGTGATGTCCCGAGACAGCCGTGTTTCAGTTAATGCAAGTATATCGGGATGAGACCCATCTACAAGCAGACCTATCTCGCACATCTTATTCCTTAGGCTCCGCACATTGCTTAGCACTATATGAAAGTAGTCGTAAGGTCCAGCCCTGGGTCGCGCGCCACCAGTACTGGCACTGGTGGGGGGGAAACAGACCGCCGGCTGACCACCCGAAAACCCACTAACCATAGACTTTGTTCACCGGCCGCTTGTCTGGTTTTGAGGTCCTTAATGACCTCTTTTAGCTTCAGCCTTTCCACTTACTGCGGTCTTTGCTCGGGAGACCTCTTTACCGCAGGTTGAATTGGTTTCAAGAGTTCCAGAGGATTCTTGCTTAGCTGAATTTAGCATAACGGAGACTCAGGTCTTCGAGCTACTGCAAGGCATTAATCCCTCTAAAGCTTCCGGTCCTGATTCAATTCATCCGAAGCTGTTGCATGAACTGGCCACTGAGCTGAGTGGTCCGCTCACGTACGTATTTTCAATATCGCTGGACAGCTGCAGTCTACCTTCGGAATGGAAGGAGGCAATCATCTCTCCGATTTTTAAGGGCGGTGACAGCGCTCTACCCGCGAACTACCGGCCTGTCAGTTTGACAAGCGTAGTAGTCAAATTGTTCGAGAAGCTGATAAGGGATTCAGTGGAGAACCACCTGAATCGATTCAACCTTCTCAGTGTTGCACGACATGGATTCCGCAAAGGATTTTCATGTCAGACTAATTTACTTGTAGCTCGTGAAAGCTGGGCCGAAGCGGTAGACAGTGGCCACGCTGTAGACGTGCTATTCGTAGATTTTTCGAAAGCTTTTGACACTGTTCCACATCTTCGGCTCTCACTAAAGTTGAGATCTTACGGGATATCTGGTCGCGCCCTTCAATGGGTGTCTGCCTTCCTTGAGGGCAGGGAACAGTGCGTACGGGTGGGGCGTAGCCTTTCGCTCAGGCAAGCTGTCCTTAGTGGCGTTCCGCAGGGCTCGGTATTGGGGCCATTGTTGTTCGCGATCTATGTAAATGACTTGCCGGGAGAGCTAGGGGTGTCATCATTAATGTTTGCTGACGACCTTAAGCTCTGGAATATTGTGGATATCCCGGGGGGTCCTGAGGCAATTCAGCGTGCCTTGGATATACTCTGGGAATGGTCTATCTTATGGTTGATGCCCATAAATAGGGCGAAGTGCTCTGTTCTCCGAATCGGAGCTGCTAATCCTCCCACCCGATATGTTCTCGGCGGTGGTGAACTCCCTGTTGTCACTCAGCAGGTTGATTTAGGAGTCGTACACGCATCAGCACTTCATTCTGGAGACAACTGGAAGAAGGCTGCTTGTCGAGGGTTTCGTATGATGTGGTTTATCCGCCGCTCTTTCGGAATCTTAACGGCCAAGTTGTTTGTGAAGCTATTTTCGGCATTCGTCCGACCCCACCTGGAATATTGTATTCAGGCTTGTCCACCATGTCTTAACCGAGACAAAATGGACTTGGAGAGGGTGTTACGAGTGGGCACTCGGTTAGTGCAGGGTCTACGGGGACAGACGTATCCTGAACGCTTGCTCAGTTTGGGGATGTACTCCATGCACTACCGAAGGATAAGAGGGGACCTGATTCTCACTTATCGTATTTTGACGGGTAAGATTGGCCCGGACTTGTCAGGGCTTTTTAGTCCCGCTACGTTACCTAGTCTCCGCGGTCACCCACTGAAACTGCATAAACCACGGTCTGATAGGATTAGGACGGAAACTCGTCTATCGCGCCGAGTTATAGATCGCTGGAATTCTCTTCCAGATCACGTGGTTAGGGTACCTACGGTTAAGGATTTTGCGCGCCAGCTCGATGCTCTTGGGTGGCAACAGCAAACCTTTCCTTTTTCCTAGCTGACTCACCTTCATTTTTCAGTTCTTATTTTTATTGACTCAAATATCTTGGTATTCCATGTGCTTAGCTCTTATCACTTTCTCTTTTGCCTCCTGCGTTTACTTTTTTCTCTTTCTTACTTCACGTAACCGACCCAGCAGGGACTGCTAGGGCAGGATACGTGGGCATTAATTGGTTGGACAGGATGTGATGCGGTCTTTGTTTTAGGTCCATCAGTATTTCAAAGTTCGCCAACTCCTGGTTCAACGACCCGCCGAAGAAGGAACACTCACGGGATCTATCCTATCGTTCCAGTCCCTCTTGAACTTGAACTTGAACTAATGGGAGGTCTGGCTGAACGCTAAAATTAGTACCTTTCAATTTGAAGGCAAACCGCAACAGCGCGTCGCGTTCCTCCGAGGTGTATAGGACTACCCGAAGTTGTCAATAAGTGACAGCTCACCGGTGATGTATAGCATACAGGTAAGTTGCAAATGAGCTGAAAACGCAGGTGCGTATCAATCTGGCGGTTGTTCGGATGTCTGCCCACATGACCACGGTAAACCAAACTGTACGACAAAGGGAAGAAGAAGGATCAATGGATTTCTAGCGAAAGAACCATGGTCGCACTTTAGAGATCAATGCAAGGTAACGTCCGGACCAGATAAAAATAACGGTTATAAACAATTAGCATTGAAAATTTGTTGATCTATAGCTTCAAATATTAAATCATCGAGTAGGGCGGAAGTTGATGGATATACATTGATCCAAAATACTTCATAAATAGAGCAAACATATTAGGCATTAGTCTTAAGTGATTAACTGGTTGCTTTGGAACGATCCTACCCTGTATATCAGGATAGCTTTCGCATTCAGGCCCATCAAAATGTAGCAGTACAAACATTCATACCGGTTCTATTTGAAAGCATTTATGAAAAGCAGCTTATAGTTTAAATATACCGTGTTCAACAATTTGTGTTCACAAGTTGCTTAAATATATTTTTTTAAACAACTCAGTGATGTTCCAATCTGCGACCTTCATATGGCACCCATATTCGACACAAGATTTAAGAGTGCCAAGATAGCATCTGACTCGCGGGTACCGGAAATTTGATGCATGACGGACATTTTATGGTCCATATAAATACCATTAGATTGCAATATTTTTAATGTATTCACATAGTAGTTACTTTTGATTTTTACACTAGCATTTTGTTAACTTCTTATTTTGGTATAAATAACCCACCTCAATATGGAGGAACAGATAAACTAGCACTAGCTACAAAAATAAATCCACATTCTTAAGCACTTTTATCAAAATGTTTGCAGTAAGTAGTTTAGATGTAAAGGAATAACAACACTTAATTATCCCCGAACTACTTAGTTCTTCTTATCTCCCTTGTCCTAGGTTTTGATAACTCGCGAATTCGACGTTCCGCGTTTTGGCTTCTTCAGTCTAAGAGTAGTCTTGCAGCTATATCGGGTGTAAGGAGATGGTTGATACAATTTTAGACGGAAATATTGCTTTTGTTACTTTTCCTTGTTGTTTCATACTACCACAATTTTTCCAGTTTAATAAAGATAGCTTAAGGGTTCTGATGTTAGCGTTCAACCAGACCTCCCGCTAGCGGATAGACTGGAGCTAAAAGTATCCACCAAGTACCTCAAAACCAGGCTAGTGGCCGGTGTGAAAGGTCTCCAGTTGGTGGATTCTTGGGTGGTCAGGCGGCAGTTTCTTGTTTCTTATGTTTACAAATGACCTGGTTCCTCTTAAGGATCCCTGTAATATCTTCGCAGATAACTTAAAGATAGTTAGTAGGGGAAACTGGGTGACGTTGGCTAAGGCCATCGTCACTGTGGTGAATTGGTCGAGCCAATGGAATCTACCTCTGAATTCCAATAAATGTCATCTATTAACCAATAGTGGTAGCGGAATTGCAATGCTGTCTCCTGAGGGATCTCTATCATTGTAGTGTATTGATGAAGCCCACGATCTAGGTGTCGTCATAGTGAACAACTTTAAGCCTTCGGCACAGTGTCGACATGCTTCCAATAAAACGCGACAAGAGTTGTTTCGCCTTAGGAGGGCGCTGAATATCACTAAAGCAGAAGTATTCTTGCCGCTATATAAAGTAGTGGTTAGGCCACATCTGGAGTATTGTGTTCAGGCCTGGGCATCTTACTTTCGAAGTGACGCCATGTGTATGGAAAAAATTCAGAAACTTGCTACCAGGATGATCGAAAACCAACGAGTAAAGGCATACGAAGATCGTCTAAGTAGCTTGGGATTATTTTACTTAGAACAGCGAAGGTTGAGAGGCGATTTGATTGAGTTGTTTAAGATCATTATGGGACGTACTGTTATTAGCTCAACTTCTGGTGGGACTGGAACGATAGGAGAATCCCTGAGCGTTCCATCTTGAGTGGATCGTTAAGCCACGAATTGATGAAGTGCTCAGAGTTATTGATAGATCTAAAACTGAACACTAGTGTCGCACCCTGGCCAACCAGTTAATGCCCACGTTTCCTGCCCTAGCAGTCCCTGCTGTGGCAGCCACCTGAAGTAAGTGAACTAAGTCCCACCCATCTGTTAGAGTTAGCTATGGCAGGCCATCTGCGCAGTGCTGAGCAATTGGTCAGCAGTGAACTTTTTACTTGAAAGATAGTACTTATCTTTTGGGACGCTACAATGTCATCATTAACGTGGGTTGGAAATAAGTACCTCCAACTCATTTCGGAAGCGGTGCCGGTCGCGATAATACGGATAGTCACTTTCCTTAACTAGGCAAAGTTGCTGTCCGTACGTGCGGGATCACTTCGCACATGACACTTCTTTATCTGGTACATGACACTTATGGAGCGAGATAGAGTACTGGTATTAAATTGGCTAAGTCTTTGCCGACAACATTTGGGGCACGTGATTCCGAAGTAACCGCTCTAGCTTCTGACCAGATATCAGTTTGCAGCTACATAGTACTCAATCTTCCGGTTCCAGGAAAAATCATGGGAGCATCTGTTCGTTTCCTCAGATTCACGAGCGCTGAACTAACAAGGTCAAGGTAAAGTGAAAAATCCGTTGCAGCTATAGCTTTTATCTCATTATTCGAATATTGACGGTTTTCCTTCTTGATCGTCTATCTACTTTTTAATCGCGCAAAAGTCATGTTATTCGCCGTCACTCTTTCGCCAGTTACCCTGTGACATAATGAATTAGGTGGTCTCACTTGAAATCCACAGGTTACCAGTCTGGCGATTTTTTTACTGATTAGCCTGGGAGGACGTACAATTTCAATTAAGCTAGCATATTGGTGACTACGTTTCATAAACCCATGTTGCTGTTGTACTGCCCACTGCGAGAAAGCCCTCCTAGCTCTGTCTTCAGTGCGGTAGGCTGTTGCACATTGGAAGTTTGCTTTATGTAGGTATCAGTCATTTGCCTATTCATTGAATGATGTTAACTAGTGGACAACCATATTTCGAGCGGTTGTCAAGACGTTTCGATCTTAATAACGGTTTTCCCCAAGACCCTCGCCGCAGTGATCGCCTTTTTGCATCTAGAACGAATTCGGTTATTACTTCACTCTGTGTTTTAACCCTTCTCATATATCTTCCATAAACTCGTACTCACTGAAGTTTTACACCAGTCCTATAGTTTATTGTTCGACCTTTTGCTTCAGCTCCAGTCGGTAAACAGTATGACGTTTCGTGATCCTTCTTCATCTACTGATGCCCGTCTGTATCGCACTGAACACTACAAATTTGACTGGACTGTTGATTTCACCGAATCGGTACTCAGAGGCTCTGCATCGCTGACCGTGACCAAGTTGCACCTGGAAGCTAGTGCGCCGCTAGTAAGCAATTATTTTTACCATTTTCAAAATCGATAACCGCTTTTCACTCTATCAACGGGGTGACTCGTTTATTTGACAGTGGTTCTTAAGTAGAATCGTTTAAGCTGGCCCATTCAGATGGCCTCCATACGTTAGGAAAAGCTCTAGATGCCATTGTACCACTGGGCCTCATCGTTATCGTGCGCACTTCGGATCATTTTCTAACCTACAACCCTTTCCCTCAGTTAGTAGAGAAACTTAAGCTGCCATGTACTAATGGCGCTCTCCATTAATCGCTTAGCTATGTTTGACTACTGGTGCTTGCTGCGTATTGTTCACATCTGGTGGGCAGACCGGGTGAACAATGCCGAAGCCAGTTGGTCGGTTTATAGCTGGAAACCTGGTGTCTCAGTCCAGTGTTTGCTGAATTTTGTCCGTTTACGTTGACTATGTCGTCTTCCTCATACCCGTTGACCGACTTCAACGGCATGCATTATACGCCGTAGCTGTGCAATTCTGATCGAAACCGCCAGATGGCCAGTCGATGCCGTAGCATACGGACATGAGGAAATTGACCGAGATACTTGGTCAGGCCGGTGCGTATCGTAACCTGCCTTGTAATCCGAGGACGTTGGTTCTATCCTACGTAGAGGACCGGGTGACTCGCAGTGTCCGTAACCCATACACGACTGATGGTGTTTGCGCGGTAACGATGCATCAGCACTGCGTACCGGTGTACTACCGATGCCTTCAGGTATGGTGGCTCCGGGGTGGTCCACACTAATTGTTGAAGATCCTATCAAACGTGACGCAGTTGCGCAGTCACTGGTGTTCTGCATTCGATTTTTTGCTTCTAGCTGTCAATCTTCATTTCATCCCGATTAGTTCTCAACCTCTGTCCTGATTCCATCTTCCGTGTACCCCATTTGCATTTGACCTAACCTTCTAGCATTTATTATTTATTGTAATTTTGGCGACGTGAGTTGGGGCCTCTGCATCCACCGCACTTCGGTCCCCGGGTCATAGTTGTTCAACCGAACTGAACTGAACTGGCGCTCCCTCACGACTATGTTGACAGTTGTTCATCTTTTGCTCGACTGCTATGCACGTCACCAACTTTGCTCACTTCTCTCATAGTTGCTGAAAAGTGGTGGTAACTTTCACGTCACAACGAAATTGGACATTATCGTGGTGCGACGGTTCGTGTATCTCTTCGATCTGTTGAGTCATACTAGATGGAGCCCTCCAGCCTCCTGAGCGCTACTCCTACCACGTTGGTTAATAATTAAAGATCAGATAAACTCCGTCTCCTGGCCCTCCAGGTTGGGAGCCTGAAATGGAATGGAGTCCATTTTTGTCAAAATAAATACTGCTACTTCTCCGCTGTCTTGTTGCCAGGCTTTTGAGGCAAAGGCTTTGGTTGAGGACCCTAATCGTCCTCCTGTCTAGGTCGGCGCGCCCTGGCAGTATCTCAGCCCACGTACAACCATAACTAATTCTTCAGTTTTCCACCGCATCTTGCATCCGCCATCACGCAGATTATCAGGAATCGCCTTATATGCTGCATACAGCCGGGCGGATAAGCGAAAACATGCTACTGCTGGTGCCTCCCTTCTTTCCTTGCTCCTTTTTTCTATTACTCCCCTCTCAATCTCCATGACTACCTTCCCTTCCATAATTCCCACGTTAATTGATAGCAGCCGCAGTGTGACTGCAGTCATGCCATCTGCAGCTACCTTCCCGCACCACTCACCGGACCCTAATCGCCAACAACTCCTCACAAGGCCACACTCCTGTTTCCTTCGCGGTGTTCTGCCTTTGCACTATAAGACAAATCGGTCGACAGGCTGCACTTGCGAGCGCGTTGGACACACTGGATATTGACGTTTGTTACGTATCGTGCACGAGGATCAATGACCCCCAGGATATTTTTGAATTAACTACACCCGACTTGTCCTCTTTCTAATGGTTGCGCCAGTTAAGATGGCTCGGCCATGTCCTACGCATGGCACCTGAGCATCTACCGCGTCGCGCTCTATTCGCTCGTCAAGGACCTGGCTGGAAGTGACTGCGTGGTGGTCATCCTTCCACTTGGCGGCAGTACATGAAATCGCTGACGTCGTGTCTAGCCGCTGTTGGATCCGTACGTCTTCCAGGATGGGGACCCAAAGATGAGGAGTGCCAATGGCTTAGGACTCTTGAAGACATGACCCGCAACCGGAATCAGTGGAAGAATTGTGTACAGTGTTGTATTGATTCACATGTTTAATACTACCAACATTGAAAGTGACAAAAAAAGAGAAAAATGGGCGTGTGAAAAACAAACTAAAAATATTTTGTTCTATTTTTGTCAAGATGTTCCATTCTTCTTGCGGCATATTAGCTGAAGTGTGTTTCCCACCTTCAACTAGCATGCCACGATGATTATAACGCAATGACTCTCCTATCCACTGATTTCCATGGTTTTTATTGGCTCTATATCTAGTTGCTAGACTGTTGAAATAAAAAATGGTTGCACACATCTAGAAACGCTGATGCGGCACTAGAATCAAGCTGGGGTGAACATCATTCTCAGCTCCAAGGATGGGTCATCGTTAGTTGCTTAGATTCCCGTGAACCACCGTTTGTGTACAATCCGTCTGACGACATCAACTAAGGTTAGTTCATGAAGAAGCATTAGACGCTGTTTGTTTGTGGTTTCCGATTATGATCCCACCGACTGCAGTTCAGATTCATTCATTCATTCATCATAGACTTTAGCTGCAGGTAGAAAACACGGCTATTGTGTCCCAACGCGAATGAAACAACATGCAGGAGTCACACCAGCCGTCACCAGTAACGGATGGACATCCTTCCGGAGAACTAACATCCGGATATTGTGCTGTATCTTAGGTCGAACGAAGGAGATCGTGGTTGGAGGGGAGGCTAAGCAGGAGGGGAGATAAAGAGACTCATAGCACAAACACCATTAATGTCGGCTCCTAGTTATGTCAACAAGTGTATCCTGTAGTTCTGATGCTGCCAAGGACACATTATACCACATACTGAACACTACTATGCAGTGCTGCCATTTCAGATATCATAGTACTTGCAACTGATATGGATGCACACGTAGTTCGCTCGAGCTCTTCAGAAGCTCACTTAGATGGTGAGTATGGACTTGTTTCCGAACGGACGCACAGCGGGGTGTATGTTACAGCTGTGTGCGGAGCACCGGCTGTTCCTTAGTAGCAACGCTTTGACAGTGGGCGCTGAAGTGCCATTTGGCGTCCTCCTGTGGCTGGCCAGATATGGACCCAAATAACTCATATTGCTATAAGTTTCAGGTGGCATGGCTCCATACTGCATTGTCGCTCGTTTTGGAGAACTTACATGGACTGTGATCATGCTTTGGTACTATGTCTTCTTTCATGAACTTTACCGGGATGCGTGCAAAGCGTCTCCCTGGATTGGAAAGAGAATTCATCTCATCATCATCATCATCATCATACACGTTAGCTAGAGGTGGGGAACACCTCAGCTACTGTGCCGCAATATATAGAAAAAAGGAGAAAAAAATGCAACTGGTGCAAGCCGGCTGAGCTACCGGTAACGGATGGGCATCGTTCCGGTAAGCTACCAGCCGGCTACTGTGCATCAAAAAATTACTATGCAAAATTATATAAGGCTAAATAATGAGATCGTGGTTGGAGGGGGAGGCTAAGAGGGATGGGGTGGGACAAAGAAACTCACAGCACGAACGCCACTGAGGTCGGCTCCTAGCCATATCAGCAAGTGTGTCCAACCAAACGTGTTCATCGTCTTTCGGACCCCAACCAGGGAGTCGAGACGCTCCAACCGAGGCCAGCTCAGAAGTGAGGGCCTTCATTCCTCTCGACCAAGTCATCGCTTGGCCACCCCTCCTCTTCTTCCATCCACACCCCCGGCGCGCAAACAACGCACTTCGCGGGAGTCGGTGGGCTGGCATGCGTAACACGTGGCCGAGCCATCGGAGCCTGGTGCGTGAAATAACGGTGCTGAGCGGTTCAGTTCCTTTTCCTGTGCCATAAACATGGCGTCGAACACGCTCGTTGCTCACGCGGTGTTCCCACCAGATGTGAGCTAAATTACGAAGGCACCGGTGATCGAACGTAACTAGCCTCTTCAGGTCCGCTGCTTTAAGCGGCCAGGTTTCACAACCGTACAGTAGGGTCGAACGTACCGCTGCATTGTACACTCTACCCTTCAGGGCGAGTGATGTCGCGCCGGCACCATAAGTGGCGAAGGTTAGCAAAAGCACCTCGAGCTTTTGCTATACGGTTCGTGATCTCATCCTCAATCCCACGGGCGCTGATACAACTTCCCAGGTAGTTAAATTTTTGAATGGCTTTAGCTGATCCTCACCAACGGTCAGCGTAGGAGGCGGTCCAAACCAATCTTGGAGGAACGCTTTGCACTTCAAGAGTGCGAAGCAAGGCCCGAAGTGACGGGCAGCTAGTGCTAATCTGTCCAGTGCCGCTTGGCACATTTGGGAGCTGTCGCAGATTAGGGCAATATCATCAGCATACTCTAAGTCAAGAAGTCGTTTTCTTGGGAATAGCTCCACACCTTCTAAGTCGTGTCCTGTGAACGCGATTTCCATGACTTCGTCAACAGCGAAGTTGAAGAGGAAAGGTGACAGCGGGCATCCATGTCTCACGCCGATGGAGATAATAAAGGGCGACGGCAACTTGCCGTAAGCCCTCACTCTGCCCGTGCTATGCGCACATAATGCTCGGATAATATTCACATATTTCTCAGGTACACCTTACCTGAGTAGACAGTCCCAAAGTGCATGTCTATCCACCGAATCGAATGCACCTTTGATATCGAGGAACACGACAACGGTGGGCCGCCAGTATATGTGACGGTTCTCCAACAACTGACGCAAGTGAAGATGTGGTGAATGCAGCCACGACCTCGACGAAATCCAGCTTGCTCTTCACGAATATGGCTTTCACGAGTGCCAATCAGCCTATGAAGGATGACAGAGGCAAGCAATTTGGAGGCGACGGAGATCAGACTGATTCCTCTATGGCTGGTACATTCCGATCGTGAGCCTCCCTTGAAAATTGGGACTATGACGGAGCGGCTCCAATCGGTTGGGACAGTTTCCTGCTCCCACAGTTTTACTAGTAACTCGTGTAAATTATCCACAAGAGCAGGTCCCCCGAATTTGAAGGGATGGTGGAAGATCATCAGGTCCCTCGGCTTTAACTTCAACAATTCGATCTCACGTTTGACTTCTGAGCGAGAGGGTGGATCCAAATGGACAGCCCAGGGAGCGGGGCGATCAGTGGCCGGCGAGAAATCTAACCATGCCGTCCGATTAAATTGCCTTTTATTGTGCTCAGCCCAACGCTCTAAGCGTTTTGATACGTTATGGATAGGCTGTCCACTCTCGTCACGTGTAGTTTCACTAACACCAGGTCTGCTGCCCGTTTCCCGTATCAGACGGAATAACGTACGATGGTTACCAAGGGCAGCGGCCATTTCCATCTCTGATGCACGATGAGGCCACCAGGATTCGCGTCTTTCTTCAGGCTAGCACGGAGTTTTGCCCGGAGCTCTTTGCGCGTTTTCTTGTGTTCGCTTCCAGCCGGAATATGCCGGCGAGCATCTATAAGTTCCAAAGACTGTGAAGAGACCCAATGTTCATGTTGGCGATTAGACATACCACATGGGGATTTGCCTGCTGCTAGTAAGGTCTGATGAATATGAGACCAATGGCCTTCCATTGCATCCGGTGAGCGTTTATCCAACTCGCATGACAGCGTACTTTGCTAGACATGTAGAACAGCTGGCTTCGCCAGTTGGCTGGTGTCAGTGCGCTCACAACGTCGTCGTGGGCGTCCGCCAAAGCGCATCCGCAGGTCAGCACATACAAGTGCATGGTCGGTGTCCACACCTGTGCTCCAAATCGAGCGACAGTTCTGGACGCAGTCTCTCCATCGGTAACTTATCGCAATGTGATCGATTTGCGTCCATAGCTGGTTCGAGGCTGGTGGGCGCCAAGTCACCCTCCGGCGAGTGGTGTGTCGGAAATTAGTGCTCGCAAGAAATAAGCGAGCATCTTCACAAAAATGAAGTAACCGCTTACCGTTATCATTACGGGAGTCTATACCATGTTGGCCGCCAAGATGCAGCTCATCTGTGGATAATTACCAGACATGAGCTAAACTCTAAAGACAGCGATTGTCGAACGTAGCTTATATGTCTGTCGACTTGTTGGGCCAGATTTCACAACCGTGCAGGAGGGTTGAACGAACGGCTGCATTGTAAACTTTGTGCTTCATGACGCGAGTGATGTCGTGCTGGAGCCACAGGGAGCAGAGGTCGGCTAAATCGCCTCGAACTTTTGCTGTGCAGTCCTTGATCACATCTTCGATCACACACGGACTGATATAGCTGCCCAAATACTTAAATTCCTGGGTGAATTCTACCTGATCTCCATGGTCGCTGTAGCCTCGATTTCGACTAAACTCCGCTTCCTCCCTGCAAATCTGGCTCTCGCGAGTGCCATTCAGTCTATGTAGTACGGCGGAGGCAAGTGTGTTATAAGCATTTGGGGCCAGACTGATTCCTCTATGATTGCCGGATTCCGAATGGGAGCATCATTTGGGAATTAGAACTCCGACGGAGCGGCTCCAGTCTGTTGGGATAGTCTGCTCCTATAGATTCATTAGTAAAGTTTACAAGTCGTTCATAAGAGTAGGTCCCCCGAATCTGCAGAGGGCTGGATAAACTCCATCTGCTCCCGTTGCCTTGTTCAATTTCAGTCGTTCGGTCTCACTTCTGATTTATGCGCATGAATGCGGATCCAAGGTGACGGCCCAGAGAGCAGGACGCTCATTGGCCGATCAGGAAATTGGCAACTGACTAATTAAACTGCTTCTCCTAGTGTTCGGCCCAACTCTCCAAACGCTTCGACAAGCTGTTGAGCAGCTGTCCACAGCGCATATGGTCTCGCTAATACCAAGTTTTCTGCTGCCCGTTTCTCGTATCAAACGGAATAACTTCCGATGATTACCAAGGGCAGCGGCTGTTTCCATCTCCTAGTCACGATGATACGACCACGCTTCGCGGTCTTTCTTCAAGCTAGCACGTGGTTCCGCCCTGAATGCTTTGCAATTCTCATTGTATTCGCTTGCAGTTGGAACAACTCGGCGACTATCAAGAAGTTCCAGAAACTGCATTGACATTCAATATCCAGGTTTGCAACTTGATTTGCCAAATGAGGACGTGCCTGCTTATATTAACGTCAAGTGGATATGCGACCAGGGACCCTCTGCCGTGTTTTCAGATAGCGTTTACTCGGCTCGGTTGCCAGTGTAGTTTGATAGATATTCAGAACAACTGGCTTCGCCAGTTGGCAAATATCTATGCCTTCGCGGCATCGTCGCATGTGCCCACCGAAGTGACCTGTAAGATCGGCACAAACGAGTGCGTGGTCAGAGTCCACGCTCGTGCTCCAAGTCGAGCGGTAGATTTGGACCATCCTCTCCAGCGGCAACTAATCCCGATATGGTCCATTTGCGTTTATGGCTGGTTTGAGGCAAGTATACGCCCTGTCACCGTTTTGTGGGTGCTGTGTCGGAAATTACTACTCGCAAAAAAGAGATGAGTATCTTCACACCGGTGTGGCAACCGCTCACCGTTATCATTGCGGGAGATTACACAGTGTTGGCGGCCCATTTGATGAAGCTCATCAGTACACAGTACTCCAGCTTCGCTTTTCAAATCACCAGCATTATCCCTAGCCCGATTACGACTGGTGATAGTTCTTTGGTAGCGAAGCACACACACTATACACGTTAGCTAGAGGTGGGAAACACCTCAGCTACTGTGCCGCAATACATAGAAGAAAAAAGGAGAAAAATATGCAACAGGTGCAAGTCAGCTGAGCTACCGGTAACGGATGGGCATCGTTCCGGTAAGCTACCAGCCGGCTACTATGCACCAAAAAAGTAATTTCCTATGCAAAATTATATAAGATTAAATAGTGAGATCGTAGTTGGAGGGGGAGACTAAGAGGGATGGGGTGGAACAAAGAAACTCACAGCACGAACGCCATTGAGGTCGGCTCCTAGCAATATCAACAAGTGTATCCAGCCAAACGTGTTCATCGCCTTTCGGAGGTAGCGAAGCGTCGGTACGGTGTACCGATCTGTTGCGCTTCTGAATAGGCTGACACAAAACGATATGGCGGTGACATGTTTCCCATACATAATGCTAGCTGCCGCTGCAGAGCTGGATGAGCGCACCACCGGCTTTTGCTAGCAACACGTAGTCACTCGAGGTGGCCGATCAGTTTGGTTAGTTTGGAAAACATAGTGAAAGCTGGACTGTGGTTTTTCAACCTTCGATTATTTTTCCACTTTCGTATACATGGTTACACCAATTTATGAATGACAGTAATAAGCTCCGGTTTGTTTCTTTGTTTCGGCAAGTCTTTTGTTGCTCACTATCCGTCTGTACGCTTGTCTGGAGTTGTTCTTATTTTTTGCTTGTTAGTTCCTTGGTAATTTGAGTCACATGTCCTCATCATCTAATGCCAGCTAAGTGCGTAACTATTTGGTGAAACGTTTAACTGTATGTAAATTGCAAGAATCTGACATTTTCGACTGACACGTTGTTCGCATCCAGATTCTTGACGTCAATGGTCTCGATATCCAAACCGTCAAGGTTGGCAACACACTGGTTCACTGGAAGATCCTGCCAAACCCAACTGCAGCTTTGGGCGCGCTATCAAAGTCGACCACTCAAGTTGCTGGCTCTTGTGGCTTAGGCGTCGTTGCTGCTGGCTAACAACACATAGAAGAACACTACAGGTTGGAAAAAGTTGGACGCTCTCACCAAGGAGTGCGCTTCAACCGGATTGGACAGCGAAGTACAAACGGCAGGATATTGGATTTTTGCCAGGGGATCACCATAGCTACAACGTACGTCAGTTCAGGCGGCTATGTGGTGCTATACCCACGCCTGTGTGACTTCGCGCGCTGACTCTGGCATTTGCACGCAGAGTCGTGAGCACAGTGATTTTCACCCTGATTTCTTATGCTGTGAAGAGTCGGTTGCTTTTGTGCTGACTGGACGTCGTTGTGGTATGTCGCAATAGGTTTTGATATTTGAATGGCATCGTAGTCCACCTTGGGCTTTGTTTTTGCTAGACTTGTGAGTGCTACGCGCTGCTCAAGTAAATTTGTCTCTTACAGTACCGATGAATTGCCTTAAAAATTAAAGAATATACTTGAAACGAGTGAATTAAAGGAACGAAAGGGTGTAGACCAGTGTAAGGGCATGGAATCCGGATATGGACTGCAAGGATCTGGACAGTCTAAGAGAGTACACCTTTTAATAAGTTACTGAAATGCTAAGCTCCAAATAGGGGATTGGTAGAAACGAGTAAAGTGACGAAAGAATTTGGGTGAGTGTTTCTACCCAGGACAACAAAGTGTCTTGCGTAAAGTTATGGGGATTTGTGGAGGCTGTAAGACTTGCAATCGACAGACGAAGTAGCCAGTAAGCGATCGGAAATGCATTGCACTGACCTTCCACATGCCTTCCGAGTGTAGCAGTAGCGACGATTACTGTAACTCATCAAAGTGCTCAACACCAACGATTTTATATCGATAACCAAAAAGGTTGGCATATCTGGACCACGAAAGAGTAGTCTGTGGATAATCAAATAATCTTAAAAAGAAGGCTGCTTATAAATGCACATCGAGCAAGCTTACCACAGCGTCAAATGTCGCTTTCACAGATGGAGTGTCTTGACACGGGAACATACTCCGGGCGTGTATTGCTTGACATTGACTATACATGAAGGGCAGGCGACCATCCCTTGTCTGCGCTGGCTCCAGCCATTGCAACGCTGAGGAGTTGGGAGATGTTTTGTAAACCACTTCGACTTCAAACCTAAAAAGTAGCAAAGATGAAGGAAGCCAGTTCCGCATATGGTAGTGGATAATAAAAATAGGTGCTGCTACACGGAGGTGAAAAACAGTGATGAACGAAAGCAACAGTGGGAGTAGCGAATGCTCCCAAAGCGCCCCGTTAAATCCAAAGGCGAACACTGTTGAGAAGAAACGATGCAGGAAGTAAAACCCGAAATCCGTACTGTGTCAGAAATTCCGTGGAAGATAGCGAATGAAGTTGCTGTGCAAATAGAAGGAAATAAGCTCACTTCATTTGAGCGGAACAAGTATGGTCAGCGCACCGAAGGGCGATGGATCCAGCTGCTATGACACATGTAGACAGAATTACAATAGAGATAAGGAAATGTGGTTGAATGAGAAAAGAATAGAAGGTAAATGGAATCGAGAAAGAAGTGCGAAGAAGTAATTGGGATGGAATGAATAACAACAGCTAGATGTAAGAAACCGAATGTAGGAACGCGACTGACTGCGCGACTGCGCAGTTTCTAAACGCTGAGGTGGGCCATTTCAGGGCCACATCTACGAAGACAATGTGCATCAGCTTGATCAAGCCTCTCGGACAACTTCATCATATCTTTATACCACGTCAACGATTGGCCACCTAGTGATTTCGCCTAACGGTGCAGCGACGGCGTTTAATGAACGCCAGTCAACGGGCATACAGAGGACAGGGCCTCACTTCTGAGCTGGCCTCGGTTGGAGCGTCACGGCTGCCTGCGTGGGGTCCAAAAGACAGTGAACACGTCTGGCTGGATACACTTGCTGACATGGCAAGGAGCCGACCTCAGTGGCGTTCATGCTGTGAGTTTCTTTGTCCCTCCCCATCCCTTTTAGCTTCCCCCTCCATCTACGATCTCATTTCATAGCGTAAAATATAACAATTGTTCTTTTTGCCTAGTAGCCGGCTGGTAGCTTACCAGAACGATGACTATCCGTTGCTGATTGCTCCGCTGGCATGCAACTGTCGTATTTATTTTACTTTTCCTTCATGTATTGCGGCACAGTAGCTGAGGCGTTTCCACCTCTAGCTGACGTGTATAATGATGATGATGGGCATGGCCTAGCTGACGTGGGAGATTAATGTTCATCTGTTACTGGTGGCTCAGCTGGCGTGTTCTTGTGCGCTGCGCCACAATAGCTGAGGTGTTTCCCACCTTTAGCTAACGTACATTAGGATGATGATGATGATGAGGCAGTTGAGTTTAAGCAAACACTCGAGTGAGACACCAGAAGGAATCCTGCTAAAAACCAAGTGGCAAACCACAACATTGCTCACTCGATGTTCCCACCAGATGTGAGCAATACTCTGTGAAGACCGGTGATCAAACACAGTCTTCAGTTCGAACTGGCCAGGTCTCTGATCCAGACACTAAAACCGGCTTTACCGCAGCGTTATACATCCTACCTTTCACTGACAGGCTGATATCCAGTCTGCCACAGAGAGGAGGAGATGGCATTAGCAGTAAGCCGGTACGTAGTACTAACGCTTCGCTGCCGCGCAACCCCTACCGGTTGCACGTGGGTTAAGGATACTGCGAGGTGCGCCCTGCCCCTACGCAGGCTCGAAGCTGCGCTGTCAGATTACAAGACAGACCTGCTACCTTCACATTACAGGCCGGCCAGCCTGCCAGAAAATTGGTGAATTGGCGTGTAAAATAAAGCATTCCTTTAGATTGGAAAAAAATAGGTGGATGGTTGAGATGACAATGTACTGAGTTCAGTTCAGTCATGAAAACAGTCATGGAAACAGAAAAAGAACGCAAGAAGTTGTAAGAAATAAAACCGCTAAACACAATAGACAAGAACCTAAAATGAGGGAACGAATGCAAGAGCAGCATAGGTTTCGTGATTGTGCAATAACTGATAAAGCATCTAACCAATGGTGTGGACGATTGGGAGACCCAATCCAAAAAGGAGGCAAGTAGCAAACTGACTCATCCGTTCGGATAATTTCTTCATAACATGTTGTAATATAGTTGGTTGGATACCTTGGAGTTTTGTGCATAACTAGGCATTGTGATGGTGGCTGAAAGCTGGGGCGAACCGAATCGCCTGCCGCAAAGCGGTCGATAAGGCGATTGATCGAGTGGGCGAGTGAGTTTTAAACACACAGCTAGTTGTACTTCGCCCCAGATTTGTGAATAGAACGTTTGTGTGCAGAGTCGGTGCGAGTTCTTTCTGTCGACGCGGCTGGGTGGACAAAGCTCAAAACATGGTGTCAGAGGTACAAACGTGCCAAAATTTGCTCGCTATTGAGGAGCAATCAATGATCTCATTGCCAACCTCGCTAGAGATGAGAGAAAGCACATTGTCGGGTAACTGGAAAGCGTGGAAAGCGGATTGAATGGAATTCGCGGCGTTGATCCAGTTGGATGAATATACAGGACCATACCAGTTGGCAATGTTCAGATACTCCATCGGCTCTGAAGCAAGTCGGATAATGATGGCCTGAGATGTTTGGGACAATAAACCGGAATTTTTGGAAATAATCGAGCGTTTTGAAGGATACTGTGAAGGTCGACCGTACTTTTTTACCCACTGCCGTCGAGTGGACGAGAATCGTTCAGTCGAGCCTGAAAACGATCAACAGTCGCAAGAGCAATTACCAAATAACTTGGAAAATCAAAAGATCAGCACTGCATTTCTGTAAAACCCAGATTCAAGAATTACCAGTACCGTCAAGACTTGATTCAAGAGCCATCGTGAGTACGTCGCCCGGGAAACAATACAGCGAAATGCAGTGTAGTGTGAAACAGAGTTGTTACAAAAAGCGGAACGAGTTCACGGTGCACCCGAAGGGGAAGACTGTGGTGGACGCCCTCAAGAAAGCAAAAAATAAACTTAACGAAGTCAAAGCGACGCATGAGGATCCTTATCTAAGGCAACTGGGAAGAAATACGCGTTCTACCGCATTCGGCAGCAGTCTAGTGCAGCTCCAATTCAGTCACAGGATAGACCGCAAGCTCGTACGCAGTGGACAAGGATATGGAAACTGCAACAGAAGAACTACGAAAAAAGAAAAAGGAAAGGATTATTGAGAATACCTGTAGCTCGGGGTGTGGATGAGAGGATTGTCCTGTTCTCCGAGCCGGACATTTCGGTTGCAGACGTTTCGTTGCCAAACTAGGCAACATCTTCAGTGCGGCTATGCAGTCCTGATTCGCGGTCTCGCAAACCAATGTCAGATCCGAGTGACTATTAATTGTTGCCTGCTTCGAATGTCAGCCTTCGATCTGTTCACGTGAGTTGGTCGAGTGGGCACCTCTTCTCCTTGTCGACCTGGCGCCAAATGCTGGCTTAACCTGCAGAGCTTCATAGACACCCTCCAGCTCCAGGGGTTTGTTGATTGAGTTCCGGCCAGAATGCCAGGCCTCGAGGAACTCACGCGCTCTGCGGTTTCTTGCTCTTCCAGCTATTGCAATGTTCTCCAGATCGAACTGATGGTTCTCGGCATCCAGGTGTACTGACATTAAGGATGTCTCATCATGGCGGCGGATGGCCAGACTATGTTCGTGCAGTCTTGTGCCAAGTTTTCTTCTAGTCTGGCCTACATAGTACTGGTCACAGTTCTTGCAGGAAATGTTGCAAACTACACCCGATGTTTCTTTCTTAGTGAGTTTATCCTTCACATTAAAAAGTTTACTTCGTATGGTTTCCGTTGCTTTGTGTGCAACAGTTATCCGTGTGGCATTAGAAGCCTTGCTGCCATTTCAGAAATCCCATGGATGTAAAGTAGGATAATCGTTCTTCTTTCAGTTGCACATGTGGATGCGGGTTGTGACTGGCTCTTCGACATCAAGCAGCGCAGAATAAAGCTTCTAGGGTAGAATTTCGCTGAAACATGCTAAATAGGTGGTCTTCCTCCGCCTTCCTCAGCTGCCGCGTGCTACCATGTGTCTAGGCTCGTTTGAAAAGCGTCCTCACGCAACTTCGCTTGTATATGGTCGGATGGTTACTGTGATAGTTTAAGATCTGATCGGTTTGGGTCACTTTCCGATAAACTGTTGTTCCCAGTGACCCAGAAGTATGTCTTCTCACGAGCACGTCCAAGAATGGCAAATGATCATTGTTCTCTTCCTCTTTGGTAAAATGGATGCCGGAAAATATATTGTTGATGAGTTGATGTGTTTCTTGTAGTCTGGAGCCTTTGAGGATGACAAAAGTATCGTCTACGTAACGTACCCAAAGTTTGGGCTCCACTATTGGCAATGCCATCTGTTCCAAGCTTTGCATCACCGCTTCCGCTACCAGTCCAGAGATTGGCGATCCCATTAGTGTACCCGTTATCTGTTTGTATATTTTACCATTGAAAGTGAAATGTGTGGTGAGAGAGAAGTCAAGCAACTCCATCATTTGTGTTGCTTCAATTCGGTTGCTGGTATTTACCGCTCCTAGTTGTTCAAGCAGAGTCCCCATTGTTTGCCTTGCCAGCGTTGTGTCAATTGATGTGAACAAAGGATGTCTCAAAGGAGACCATTATCTCGTCTCTTTCTATTGTTATTCCCTTAAGTTTTTCAAGGAATTGTTCTGCTGACTGGATGTGATGGTGGCTGAAAGCTGGGGCGAACCGAATTGCCTGCCTCAGTGCGGTCGATAAGGCGCTCGATCGAGTGGGCGAGTGAGTTTTAAATACACAGCTAGGTTTACTTCGCTTCAGATTTGTGAATAGAACGTTTGTGTGCAGAGTGGTGCGAGTTCTTTCTGTCGACACGGCTGGGTGAACAAAACTCAAAGCAGGCACGGTGTTGAAAAAGAAGATACGAGATTGTCGGCTAACTGGTAAGCGGAGTATACGTCGGAGATCAATAGTGATAAAAGTCAGGCACCAGATGATCCGCGGTCACAAGAGAACGAGCCGCTGTGTTGTTCAACCGGATACCCTCCCTAATATTGCGGAGGCATCAGGGGTCAAACACCGTCCGTCTTCTTCTAATGTCATCAACAAATAATAGAGAACACGGTTCTGATCCGGGTGGTGAC